GAGAAGAACAGTACTGGGATGGGAGGGCAGTAACAAAACCCATGTGGATGCCCAGATCATGCAGATACCATCAAAGAGCCTCTCCTTCACCACCTCCTGATCAGCCAGGTTTGGTTTGTGGAGAGCATCTCCCGCTGCAAAGGTTCCCACCATTGCTGAGGGACCAGCCTGCACATCAGTGATGAGGGCAAGTCATCAGTAAAGAGGCTGAGGGAAGAACAAGGTGGGCATAGAGAAAGGGGAACACAAAAGGCCATTCTGTCTTCCTCCACCACTCTGAACTCTTTTGGGTTGGATACAAGCAAGAGGAGATTATCACGATGGCAGGGGTAATTACTTCATGGAGTAATCAAAGTGTACAGGGACTTCCACTGGCTTGTCCCGAGTCTTAGGAAGACTCGTAAGATTTAGGATTCACCAGCTGCAGCAGATAAAAAGGGACAGATATGCTGCAGGGACATAGACCTGCCCAGCTTGGGCAGCATGGTTGCAGACTTCCACCTCTTCCAGCACACTCTCACATGCAAACAAAACTCCAGAGGTGCCTGTAGATGATGCCAAGTGACGAGCTCTCTGTGCAGCAGGAGCAAAGGGTTCTGTGACTACCTTTTCCCGTGTGGCACCACAGAGGTGTGTGAGTCACCTGGGCCATCCCAGTGCCTTGAAGTGCCCTGATTGCTCTAAAAATACTTGAAACAAATAAATGCTTTTGATCCCAGCTGTTGTGAATTCTTTGCATAGCTGCGAAAAATAACAGCCCCTTCAATACCTAGAGCACTGTAAAAATCAGCAACAGAAGTGACAGCAGTCATTTACTATTAATGTGTGTTTCACCAGGAAGAAACAGGAGCCACTGCATAGACTGATACCTGCCACTGTTTTGGGTCACAAAGTCAACTTCATCATTAGCCCCTCATTTTCTACTTCATCTGTAGATACTGCCCTGGCGTGCCCAGTTGTTAATCATAGAATCCCAGACTGGTTTGGGTTGGAAGGCACCTTAAAGCTCACCCAGTTCCAACCCCTGCCACGGACAGGGACACCTTCCACTAGAGCAGCTTGCTCCAAGCCGGTGTCCAACCTGGCCTTGAACACTGCCAGGGATGGGGCAGCCACAGCTTCTCTGGGCACCCTGTGCCAGTGCCTCAGCACCCTCACAAGTAAATGCTGCAGCAAAGAGAAACTATTCCCTGAGAAACACGCAGAGTTGTGAGAGGTGGGAATACACCTGGGGTTCGGACATGGTGAGAGTTGGGGTAACACAGAGGTTGAGGGAAGGGTCAGGGCAAGAGCTGAAGGGTATGGCTGGAAGCAGGGACATGGTCAGAATCACAGTCTGCAGTTGAGCCAAGGCCAGAGGAGGGGAGTCAGGGTTAGGAGTGGGGTCAGGGAGGGTTAAAACCAAGGTAAGGTGGGGGTCAGGATGAGACACAGGATTGGGTTTGGGGCTGGGACCAGCGAAGGAGGTGAGATGGGCTTAGAGGTGGGGCCTGGCCGGGCCAGGCCAGGGTGAGGGGCGTGGGGAGCGCCATCCTCACGGGCCGTGCTAGGGCGCAGCAAGCCTGCGCTCGGGAAGGGCTGAACGGGCCGGGGCGAGCCCGGAGACAGGGGCGGGGCGCCGGCCACCCCGCCCACCTCCGGTCACGTGCTCCGCGCCCTCAGCGCTAAGGGCTGTTTCAGCAGCGCGGCTGGCGGGAGCCTCGGTAGCGCGCCGTGATCGTATAGTGGTTAGTACTCTGCGTTGTGGCCGCAGCAACCTCGGTTCGAATCCGAGTCACGGCATCGCCCCAGCGATACCACGGCAGAAGGGCTCGTGTTTTGCCATTCTGCCCCTTGGCTTCATCTGTATTAGTTTTATATATTCTTTCAGCTTCCCGTGCGCCGTTACCTCTCCACCCGCCGCCTTACAAAGCCCCGGGCTGGGCAGCACAGCACAGTGCCCCGCCAGGAACCCAAGAAAAACCTAAACAGTGAAATATTGGCGCGACGTGGAAAAAGAAAATGATGAATCCGGTCGTCGGGGAGCAGAAGGAAAAAGCAGAAGCCCCCTTGCCGTGGTATCGCTGGGGCGATGCCGTGACTCGGATTCGAACCGAGGTTGCTGCGGCCACAACGCAGAGTACTAACCACTATACGATCACGGCGCGCTACCGGGGCTGTGCGTTTGCTGTTTGCCCAGGCGGCTTTTACTGCTGATAGTGCGCAGCACGTGGCCCATGTACATGTGGGTGATACCAGATGTGCTTCGGGGGCTGCTGCGTGTCACCAGTGCGGTGACGGGCGCGGGCAACCCTGAGCACCCTTGCTATATACCGAAGCCAGACCAGCGTCCTCTGAACCGAATCCTGCTGGCCCCGTATCACCTCACTGCTCCCCGGGCAGGGAAACCCCGGGTGCCCGCACGTGGGGATTTGCCTCCCCCAATCCCGCGTGGAAAAACTGTTTCCAGCGCACGCCAGCAGGCAATGATTCCACCTGTTTTCCGTTCCCTGCTGTGCAGGACTGGGGGATACCACTTTGGAGTCTGCCTGTGCCTGACTCTTTTCCAGGGAAGCATTTCTCAGTGGAGTAAAGGCTGGATACGTGGGGGTGAAAGTACCCAGCGCAGACTCTTCTGGGAGGCAAGGTCACCCCGCTGGGGTCCCTCCCAGGCACTTGTGGGCACCCGAGTGTAGGACCTGGGAGGAGCTGGGGCAGCCCCAGCCCCAGAATGCCCAGCCCAGCTCTTTGGACCGAGCTGTTAATCGGTAACCGGGCGTGGGGACAGACGCTGTGTGGCCCGTGCGGCTGGCGGGTGAGCACAGGAGCGCGGCGGGTGCTGGGGTGGCAGTAGCCATGGGGCTCGGGGCAGCCGTTAGGCCATGGGGTGCAGGAGGGCATGGGGCAGGAGGACACAGGCGGTATGAGGGCATGGGGTGCAGGGAGGCAGCGGGGAGGGCAGAAGGGCATGTGACCACATGGCATGACAAGGCTGTGGGGGTAAGGATGCAAGACATGGGGGCATAGGGGGCACCCACCTGCTGCCCCACTGATTGCCTGCCTGTTCATGTGGCCCCACTCCTTAAGTGGATGGCAGCGTTAAGAGGCTTCACCAGAACAGAAGCCAGCTGAGCCACTGGGGAGGGGAGGAAGTGCCATTGGGGGGTCACAGTGGTGGCATCAGCATGTAGGGCACTGAGCCTGGGAGGGATGGAGAGAGCCAGGAGCCTTGGGGTTCCTGGGGGAGTCACTGAGCACTGGGGGTGCCGGCAGGGTCACTAAGCCCAGAGGGATCTCTAGGTGTTCCTGAAATGGTGGGCCTGGGAAGAGGGGTCCTCTTGTTCCCTGCCAGGCTCCTGGTGAGGGGTCCCTGAGCCCTGGGGGACACTGGGGGTGCTGGAGGCCCTGGTCTGGGGTCCTGGGTTCCTACCATGGCCTTGGATCCTGCCCTGCTGCTGAGGAACCATCAGACTCATTAGCAGCTGGGGGACGTGCTGGGGGCCAGCATGCCTCAGTGCTCCCCATGGAACCAACCGCTACCTTGAGCTGTTGTGAGGTCCCAAGCTGAGGGGGATGTTCTCCAAAACTCACCTCCATTCGTTGCATTCAGGGCTGGGACAGTCCCTTCAGTGAACCCTAATTTTCACACTGGAGGAAGCAGGCGATGACGCTGCTTCTCCATCTTCTCCATGCAGACCTCTATGGCTCTCCTCCAAAGCAAGGACAACTCCTTACTCCCTCTGCCCTCACACACAAATGATTCTACAGTCGATCGCTACCTTCTCTGCAACTTGTTTGCTCTTCCCTCATCTTTCTTCAGGTAGAGGAACCTGGAGGGAGCCCAGGTGGTATGCTCCCAGAGTTCCTGCTCTGGCATGACACTGGTTCTTCTGCCTGTGCTGGGCTAGATCTCCCTGTATAATTCTCCTCAAGGACCAGTCCCCATGCAAACTGCCACTTACTGCTCCCCATTCCTGCTGCACTGTATTAGTTACGAACATGAAAAGACCTTCTTCCTTATCCTTATCATTCCTTATCTTCATCCTTATCCTTCCTTACCCTTGTCCTAGCCCTCCTTCTCCTTCTCCTTCTTCCTTATTCCATTTGAGATCCTCAGAGCAGTGAGAAGGGCGTGCAGCAACCTCACTGCCCTGAACTTCAAGAGAGCAGACTTTGGCCTCATCAGGAACCTGCTCAGTAAGGTTCCATGGGATAAAGCCCTAGAGGGCAGGAGGTCAAACTCAGAAGGAAAAAAGGAGCTTACAGAAGGTGGAAGTGAGGACATGTGCCCTGGTGGAATTCTGGTGTCCTCAACATAAGAAGGACGTGGAGCTGTTGCAGCAAGTCCAGAGGAGGCCATGAGGATGATCAGAGGCTGGAGCACCTCCCGTATGAAGATAGGCTGAGAAAGTTGGGGCTGTTCAGCCTGGAGAAGAGAAGGCTGCGTGGAGACCTCAGAGCAGCCTTCCAGTATCTGAAGGGGGCTACAAGGATGCTGGAGAGGGACTCTTCATCAGGAACTGTAGCAACAGAACAAGGGGTGATGAGTTCAGACTGAAACAGGAGATTTAGGTTAGATATAAGGAAGAAGCTCTTCCCTGTGAGGGTGCTGAGGCGCTGGCACAGGGTGCCCAGAGAAGCTGTGGCTGGCCCATCCCTGGCAGTGTTCAAGGCCAAGTTGGACACAGGGGCTTGGAGCAACCTGCTCTGGTGGAAGGTGTCCCTGCCTGTGGCAGGGGTTGGGGCTGGATGAGCTTTAAGGTGCCTTCCTAACCCAGACCAGTCTGGGGTTCTATGATGTTACTCAGTTGCACCCAATGAGGGATGCAGCCAGATTTATTTTTTGCAGACTCTCACTGGAAGGGTTGCTCATAAAGGCTGGTAGCCACTACCACCATCTTGGAGGAGCAGTACCAGCTCTTCCTGCTGCAACGTCCTCTCCTGTAATTCCTTGGAGACATGGAAGAGCAAACCTTCCAAGAGAGGAGAACAAGGGAGTCAGTATTTCCTCCCCACAGCTTGAGGATCCTATGGGATGGTCCCTTGATGTGCTGGTACAAAAACTACTCTTAAATCTCTACTGCAAAGGGTGTTTTTCTCCTGGGGACCTGGAACTCGAAATCAGTGTTGGACATGCATGCTTCCAGAGGTGATCCTGTCTTTCTCTTCCTAGCCAGCATTGTTCCCCTGCAGTGCTGTTTCTCTAATGCATTGAAGCTGCTGCACTTCTGGAGATGGAAGAAAACCGGATAACCCTGGACAACCTTGGGAAGGGCTCAGATAACCCAGCTTTCAGCTCCGTGGTAAGTCCTCCTTTCCCCTACGTGTGGTACAGGAGCTGCTCAGGGTGCTCCAGCTAATGATGTTTTCCAGGGGGAGGGCAGACTGTGTGAGGGATGTGACGGTCCATGTGGTGGAACCAAAGAGGAGAGGAGAGGAGAAGGGAAAGGGAGATTTTCCTCCTACTGCAGGTAGGATAACCCCTGGAGATGCATCTGTGTAGGGTGTTTCCAGTGGTCATAGCAAGTCTGCAGTCCTTGGGCCAGTGATTCCCCTGATCACAGAGCAGAGCAGGGTGGTATTGACCACATAGCAGGGATAGTGCCTGATGACTCCATATGGTTTTGTAGGGGTGCAGTCAGCAGTGCAGCCACCCAGCAGAAACCTCCACTCATTGTGCCCAGGGTGTTGTGTGTGTGGTGGGGTCTCCCTTGCCACAAGCAACCAGCTCACTCCTCCTGGGAGCAGGCAGTAAGGTTGCTGGAGGCCATGGCACACCTATCAACCATGCTGCTGCCACAAGCACCCTCTAGTTATGACCTGGCTCTGTTGAGTTGGACTGGGTTCACCTTCAGGTTCCATCTTCTGTGCCTCTCAAGTCTCTGGCATGTGACTCTCCCCAGGAAGGCTGTGCAGCCGGCTTGCAAGGCAAAGCGCTTCTGCAAGGCTTATGCCAAGGTGTTGAGAAGGGTCGTCCTGGCGTTCCTTGGAGTAGGTGAGGACTTCCCAGTGCTGAGACCCCATCTCCACATCCCTTTGGCTGGCCATGTCCCCAGCCTCCAAGAACTGGGCATGGCCACCCATGTGGAGGTTGTATCTACTCTCACCCCATGGCCTGCCCCCTCCTCAGTCACCACTCCTGTCCAGGAGGGCTACCTGCTCCTCACTATCCGCCTTCCCTTTACCCACCTACCCAAAGGGTTTGCAATGCCTGTTCTGGTTGCTCCATGTGCCCCTAGACAGCTGAGGTGCTGTCACCAGTGAGCCCATCTGCTGGGTTGGTGCTCCCTAAGTCCTCCTTCTGCACAGATGGGAGCCTCAGGGAAACTAACCCCATTGTTGGCCCTGGTTAGTGTTATGAATCCATGATCTTATGGGCCTGATATTTCTGACCTCCTATGTGCCTTCTCCAGCCTACCTGTGCTACTTTATCGCGGCCTGCTGGTTCAACTTCCAGCGAGCCCTTCCGTTGGTTGTGATGACTGCTGTGGTTGTCTTCTTCATCTGCTGGAGCCTCTTCAAGAAGCACTGTGGGGCAAAGGTGCTGCTGCTCCTCAGCCCCATTTGGAAATGCTTCAGAAAGTCCTGCCTATGGCTGAAATGGTGAGTCAGGAAAAGGCAGGGCCAGATCCCTCCCAGTACCAGGTCCCCTCTCCCATGGCTGCCCTGACAACACAACCAGCAGCTGGGGGCTCTGGACAGATGCCCTAGTCCTGTGCAAGTACCTCATGAATGATGAGGAATGGCCCAGCCTGGGAACCACTTAAAAACCATGGCAGAAACATCCTGCTACTCTACCTCAGCAGCATGATGGCTGTTCATAGCCCCTGTTTGTGTCCGAGCCCCAGGTTTCTTCAGATGCATGGACCTCACAGTGGCTCCTCCCACACAATTAGCTTCTGCCCTTCATGAGCTTCTCTTCCCATGGGGACATCCTCTCTGTGATGGTCCGGGAATTTCCTTTGCAGGCTGTTATGGGTGGCTCTCCTGGGAGGCCTGATCATATGGCTGGCTTTGGACACTGCCAGAAATCCAGAGCAACTCATCTCACTGGCCGGCTTCTGCTTCCTGGTGCTGTTCCTGTTTGCCTGCTCCAAGCACCACAGCGCAGTATGTGCTTCAGACGTTTCTTGCCCATTGGTGCTCTCACAGCATGTGGCCTCCCAGTACTGGGAAAAATGTGCTTCTCTCCCACTGGCATCCCCTTATGGCCCATCACTGGAGCTCCCTGGAGGAAGCAGAATCCAGCAGGGCTCCTGGGCAGAGCTGGATCAGCATGGGAGCTAAGCTGGGTGGATGGAACCAGCCCCAAAGCCACCCACTACTCTTTTCCCACTGCTCATCACTGTGCTCCCTCATGGTGCCTCTATGGCGTTTTCCATCATGTCTCTCATACCTGGGTCAGATGCAGACCCAGCACTAGGCTCATGCCTGAATTTCAGATGTCTGTAGGTGGAGGGTGGGCCAGAGCTTCAGGTGACTTGGGCAGAAGTGATTGAAGTCCCAGTGGTTTCCAAACCAACCTGCTTCAATGTTTTTTGGGCATCTGTTGCCTCCAAAGGATTAATGAACAGGAAGTTTTGATCCAGCAGGTCTGTACTAGCTGTCAAACCATCAGAAGGTCTCTGTGCCTTTCCCCTCCTGGGTAAGCCTGGCAGATTATATTCCACCAGCCAGTTTCTGAGTCCCACCAACTCATCTTCTTCTAAACCCAAACTCTGTGGATTACTGTTCCAATTTCTTTATTAGTATCCCCATGACATTCATGCAGGTGTTTGCCATATGCAGCTGTCAAAGGGGCAGGAAGCTAAGAAAGGGAAGTCTGTAGGCTTCACTAATATCTCAGTCCCTGTTCTGTTCTTGGTCCCCAGGTGTCATGGAGAGCTGTTTCTTGGGGTCTTGGCTTGCAGTTCATATTTGGACTTTTCATCCTCCGAACAACCCCAGGCATCCAAGCTTTCCAGTGGCTGGGTGACCAGATCCAGGTACTGCATGTGCTCACACCACCCCATGCTTGTGCCCTCCATGTAGCCCCCCCTTGGGATGCAAGGACCTGCAAGAAGAGCAGAGGGTGGCATGGGGTGGGGAAGCTGCAGAGACTGCACACTTAGAAGCATTTTTGCTTGGGACTTGAGAAAAATCAGCTATTTCCTGGTTCTCTGCAGCAGCCAGGATCCTTTGGTGCAGTTTCCTATGCAGGCTGCTGCTGTGCCCCAGCACTTGGAGACAGCCCACCAGTGTCCACAGCTTAGGTTTCAGCAGGTCATTATCTGGTGTGGTGGTGAATTGAGCTATGGGGCTGGGGGGACAGACTCCTGCTAGGTAGATGTGAGATGTCAGGGAGAGAGCTAATGGAGATCTCCCTCCTCCCATGTAACTTCTCTACTGCAGTTCTTCCTAGGCTACACCACAGCTGGCTCCAGCTTTGTCTTTGGGAGCACGCTTATTGAAGAAGTCTTCGCCTTTCAGGTCAGCTTGGAGTATGGGCTATAGGGAGAGAGAGGCCGAGCCTGGCTCTCTCCTGGTCTGGCTGCCTTGCTGGATCCTGAAGAGCATGGAGCTGAACACAGCCATGTTTACTGCAGTGCTCAACCAGCTCAAGCGTGGGTCTCCCCCAGCTTTGTAAACATTGATGGACCTCCTCAGTGCCATAAGGGGTTTGCACTGGTCCCCTGTCCCAGCTGCCAGTCCAAAGTTGTGGCATCCCAATAGTGAGGGCTGGCTATGCAGTACCTTGCCATGCCCATTTCATGGGTCAAAAGGGCTTGGTCCCCAAGTGTACTTAGATGTGTTGCTCAGCTCTCCTTTAACCCTATGCCCCTGGTGTCTTGCCTACAGACTCTGCCCATTGTTGTTTTCTTCAGTTGTGTGATGTCCATCCTCTACTACCTTGGCATCATGCAGTGGCTCATTGTCAAGGTAGGACCTCTCACCTGGCTCTGGGATGGTAGTGGAAAGAAGAACCTGGTGGGTTCTCCGACTACTGTGACCACCTTGAGGGATGTTCCAGGAAAACTGGCATAGTGCTAATCTGGGGTGATTTGTTCTGCCTAAAAGAATAGACACAACACCTGCCTTTCTTGCATGTCCTCCTGAGAAGGTCCATCCTTGGAGCTGATGTTGCTGCCTGGTCTGTGGACACTTCCCAAGACCACCTGTGTGCAGCCTGAGGGCCCTGCTTCATGGGGTGGGTGGTAGGGTGCCAGGAGTCTTTGGAAACACGGCAGCCTTGTCTTTCCCCAGATCTCCTGGATCCTTCAGGTCTCAATGGGCACCACTTCCACTGAGACCCTGAGTGTGGCAGGGAACATTTTTGTGGGACAGGTAAGGTCCTGAGCAGGAGATCCAGCTCCTCAGACCTTGCAGCTGAGCCTGCCCTGGAAGAAGGGTCTTCTCCTCCCTTTCCAGGAGACCTATAGCCCTGCATGTCCCTGTCTCAAGGACAACTGGGCTTTCTCTCTTGCAGACCGAAGCCCCGCTGCTCATCCGCCCATACCTTGCAGATATGACCCATTCAGAAATCCACACTGTGATGACTGGTGGCTTTTCTACAATTGCAGGCAGTGTGATGGGTGCCTACATATCCCTTGGGGTGAGTGCATAAGCAGATGTGTGCCCCATGCTCCCTGCCATGGGGTCCTGACACACAAGAACTGCCCTGGACTTGTGGGTGAGAGAAGACCCCCAGAAGGTGCCCCATGGTTCCTTTCCGTAAGCAGGATGAGGGCAGGGTGCCTCCATGTCCAGCCTCACCTCTGTTGGTCTGTCCAGAACCCTGAGCCCTGCCAGGTAGGAGGCACTGCTGTGGGACCCTCATTGCGTGTCCTTGCACAGTGAGCAGGGGAAATCTTACTGAATCATGGGAAAATTTAGCTTGGAAGGACCCTATGGGGATCTCTGATCCACCCTCATATCCAAATTACGTGATGGCAAAGCCCACAGGGTAGCCCAGAACCTTGTCCAGGTTGGTGGTGAGCATCCCATGGAAGGAGGTCCCCCCTCACCTCCCTGAAGTGAGGATTCACAGGAGCCTCGTTTGTGGAGAATACTTTTTCCATATATGCAACTGGAATTTCCCACTGAAACTGTGACATTGATTCTCACTCTTTCCCTGGGCATCTCTGAGCAGCATCTTCCCACCACCCCCCCTTTTAAGTAGTTGGGAACAGCTACTACAACCCCCCAGCCCTCTTTTCTCCCAGGTGAACAGGCCTCACTCCCCCAGCATGGCCTTGGTGGTCCTGTGCCCTGACCCCTCCAGGGATGCCCTCTCCAGTTCATCAGTGTCTCAGCCATGGAAACGGTGTCCAGATGTGGCCTCATAGAATCATAGAAAGGTTAGGGTTGGAAAGGATCTTAAGATCACGTAGTTCCAAGCTCCCTGCCATGGGCAGGGACACCTCACACTAGACCATGCTGCCCAAGGCTCTGTCCAACCTGGCTTTGAACACTGCCAGGGATGGGGCATTTACCACTTCTTTGGGCAACCTGTGCCAGGGCCTTACTGTCCTCACAGTAAAGAACTTCCCCTGTTTCAGCTTAAACCCGTCACCCCTTGTCCTATTGCTACAGCCTTTAATGAAGAGTCCCTCTCCAGCATTCTTGTAAGCCCCCTTCAGATACTGAAATGCTGCTCTGAGGTCTCCATACAGCTGCTCATTTCCAGGCTGAACAGCCCCAACTTTCAGAAGAAGGCCAGAGAAAGGAAGACTTCCCCCTGATCGTAGAGAGTTGGGTTAGGGATAGGTTGGACAGACTTAACACCTACAAATCCATGGGCCCTGATGGGATGCACCCGTGGGTGTTGAGGGAGCTGCACCCACCATCTTTGAAAAATTATGGAGAATGGGAGAGGTGCCCAATGATTGGAGCAAGGCCAATGTCACTCCCATCTACAAAAAGGGCAAGAGGGAGGAGCCGGGAAACTACCAGCCAGTCAGCCTTACCTCCATCCCTGCAAATGTGATGGAACGGGTCATTCTGCAGTCATCACCAAGCATGTAGAACAGGTCACCGGGAGTAGTCAGCATGGATTCACCAAGGGTAAATCTTGCCTAACCAATCTAATAACCTTCTGTGATGACATAACAAAATGGGTCGATGAGGGGGGAGCAGTGTATGTCATCTACCTTTCAGCAAGGCTTTTGACACTGTATCCCATGATATTCTCGTAGGTAAGCTTAGGAAATGTGGGTTAGATGAATGGACAGTGAGGTTGATTGTGTCTGAATGGCAGCGTTCAAAGGGTTGTGATCAGCGTGATCAGTGGAGTAGAATTCAGTTGGAGGCCTGTAGTGAGTGGTGGTCCCCAGGGAGCAATACTGGGTCTGGTCTTGTTCAACTTGTTTGTCAGTGTCCTGGATGAAGGGCTGGAGTGCACCCTCAGCAAGTTTGCTGATGATACAAAGCTAGGGGAGTGGCTGATACACCTGAAGGCATGCTGCCGTTCAGCAGGACCTCCATAGGCTGGAGAATTGGGTGGAGAGAAACCTGTTGAGGTTCAGCAAGGGCAAGTGCAGGGTCCTGTACCTGAGGAGGAAGAACCCCAAGTACCATTAGAGGCTGGGGCTGACCTACTAGAGCAGTTCAGATGAGAAGGACCTGGGAGTGTTGGTAGATGATAAGTTGACCATGAGCAGCAGTGTGCCCTTGAGCCACGAGGGACAAGAGTATCCTGGGGTGCATCAGAAGTGTGGCAGCAGTCAAGGGAGGTTATTCCTCCCCCTCTACTCGACCCTGGTGAGGCCACATCTGGAGTACTGTGTCCACTGATGGGCTCCTCAGGACAAGAAAGACAAGGAGCAACTGAAGAGGGTCCAGTGGAGGCCACAAGGGTGCTCAGGGGTCTGGAGCATCTCTCTTATGAGGAGATACTGCAGGAGCTGGGCCTGTCTAGAGAAGAACAGGCTGAGAGGGGAACTCATCAATGCAGATCAATGTCTCAAATGCAGGTGCCAGGAGGATGGTGCCTGACTCTTTCCAGGGGTGCCCAGTGACAGGATGAGGAGCAGTGGCCATGAACTAAAACACAACAACTTTCACCTCAACACAAGGAAGAACTTCTTTCCATTGCAGGTGACAGAGCCCTGGCACAGGCTGCCCAGGGGGGTTGTGGAGTCTCTGTCTCTGGAGATACCCCAAATTCACCTGAACATGTTCCTGTGTGACCTGGTCTGTGTGGCCCTGCCTTGGCAGGGGGTTGGACCGGTTGATCTCTAGAAGGCCATTCCAGCACTAATGATTTTGTGATTCTGTGATTCTCAGCCTGTCTTCATATGGGAGGTGCTCCAGCCCCTGATCATCCTTGTGTCCTCCTCCAGACTTGCTACACAGCAAGCATCTCCATGTCCTTCTTATGTTGAGGACACCAGAACTGCACACAGTGTTCCAAGTTGGGTCTCACGAGAGCAGAGGGGCAGGATCACCTCCTTTGACCTGCTGGTCACACTTATTTTGGTCATCGGTGCTCTACAGCGAGGAATAAACCTTGCCCTCGATCTGCTGGCTGAGATCCTGCTATTTAAACATTAATTAGTCTACTTAAATGGGTATTCAAGGATAAAAGGTCAGAGAAATGAGACATTGCCATTTGGCAGGCAGGGGAGGTGTGAAACTGTGAACGTGGCCCTTTGTCAGGAGGGAGAAGTTCACAATGTTGCACATGATAGAAAGGGATGAGGAAGGGGCAAGGATGATTATGGTTAGGTCAAACAGCAGGAGAATTTACACCTTCAAGGCCAAGATCACTTCAGTTCCACCAATGCCTCCATCCAGGTGAGCTGCCCTACATGCCATGGCCAGCTTACATGGGAAACAGACAATTTTCCCAGAGAAGCCCAAACTGCTGATGCCAGCAATGTGGGGGTTCCCTGGGGTGGCATGTCTTGGGGCACAGCCTCACATGGAGTTGCCTAAGCCCACAGTCTGCACATTGTAGATAGATGCGGCATCACTGATAGCAGCTTCCGTGATGGCTGCACCCTGCGCCCTTGCCATGTCCAAACTCGTCTACCCTGAAGTGGAAGAGTCCAAGTTCAAGGGCAAAGCAAGCATCCGCCTTGCGAAGGGGTGAGTGTGAGGATGGTGGAGTGGGGCTGCACTGTGTGGGGAAGCCATGGGGGCAAATGGGGGGCACAAGTGGACATTCCAGGTGGCCTGAGGTTGGGAGAGCCTGTGGTGTGCTGACATCCACAGACTGGGAGCTGACTTTGCACAGGGAATGCTTGGCCACAAGAGTCAACTGGTTGGTGTTTTTTTTCCATACAGAGAAGAGCAGAACATCCTGGAAGCTGCAAGCAATGGGGCTGCAGCCTCCGTAGGGCTCATAGCCAACATTGCAGCCAACCTCATTGCTTTCTTGGCGGTGCTGGAGTTCATCAATGCTGCTCTGCGCTGGTTTGGCGAGATGGTAGACATCGAAGGGCTCTCCTTCCAGGTATCCCCAGGATGCAGCCCCGTCATCTGGGCTACCAGATCCTGCATCCCCCACCCATCCCTACCTTTGCCTCAGTAGGCTGCTGAGACCCTTGTTGGGTGTTTTGCAAATGCTGGCAGCAGGTGTCTGCCCCAAGCCTGGGGCTGTGCAGGTGGTCAGCTCTGAGTTGTTCCCTTCTGGGATCCTTTTCCCAGGTTATCTGCTCCTACGTCCTCATGCCTGTGGCCTTTCTTATGGGGGCAGACTGGGCAGACTCTCCGCTGGTGGCTGAGCTCTTGGGGATGAAGATCTTCCTGAATGAGTTTGTGGCATACCAGCAGCTGGCCACATACAAGAAAAAACGTCTGTCGGGTCTGGAGGAGTGGGATGGGAGCCGGAAGCAGTGGATATCTGTGAGGGGCATCTCCCATCCTGCCAGGCACAGGGCAGGGTGGAACCAGATGAAATGGAGCATGGGACATGGCTGGTCAGGCAGGAGGATGGCTGTTGGGGTGGAAGGGCACTTACGGCCAACTCGATGTGGATGTTCACTATCTGCTGGGTATGGGGTCATCCTAAGGAGTCAGTGAAACTCTTTCCCATTTATCCTGCTCCTTGGTGGGGCAGATCATGGTTCCAGAGGGCCTCCTGTTCCCCTAGCCCAGCCTCTCCCAGGGGCAGGCTGCCTAACATCTGCATTCTTGCTCCCAAAATTAGCTGAAGGAGAAAGGACTGGGATGGGGGACTTACCTCCATTGTGTCTGTCTGGGCTGGGAACTATGACAGCTCTGGGGCTGCTCCTGGGCTGAGATGACTATTCCCTCTTGCTGTGCCCTCCAGGAGCGAGCCGAGAACATCACCACCTTTGCACTCTGTGGATTTGCCAACCTCAGCTCCATTGGGATCATGCTGGGAGGTCTGGGTGAGTGTGGCCCACATCCTGGGTGCCTAGCAATGATGCAGGGCAATCCTGGGACCAAGGACTCAACTGGGGCAGAAAGAATTTGCTGCCCTCAACCCTCCATGTTCAGTCTCTGCCAGCACAGATACAAGAAACAGGATTTGCATGAGGTGATTAGGGATGATTTTGCACTGCACCCATGGGCAAAAGCATGTGCATGTCCCACAAGCCCAGGTGCCACCCAGCCATGCGGCAAAGAGCAGAGACTCCAGTGTTGAGAGCATCGAGTGCTCTGGTTGATCACTCATGGGTGCAGAGTGGGCTCAGTGCAGAGTGTGCTGGGTGCTGGCTGTGACTGCCATGCCACCCAGACACCAGCGGTTGAGGTGGGCAAGGTGGTATGTGATAGAGCCAGCTAGGGACCTAGGACACATCCCTATCTTTTCCCAGCCTGGGGTGGAGCCAGAGCAAGGACTTAACTCACCCCAGTCTCTGCTTTGTCCCTGCAGCCTCCATGGTTCCCCAGCGCAAGGGTGATTTGGCATCCATTGTGCTGCGAGCCCTACTCACTGGCACATGTGTCTCCATGCTCAATGCCTGCCTGGCAGGTAAGTCCCTGCCTATTGCCAGTGGGCCAGAATGAACTGGGGACAGGCAAAGACCTATAAATGCAGGTGCAGGTATGCATGTCCTCCTGATGGCTCTGCCAGGGCCTCCAAACCCTTTGCAGGGGCTGCACAGCAGCTGTGCTGGGGCCCTTCAGCCTCATTTGGGCTAGGGGTATTTCAAGGACAGCTTCTGGGGCACTGCAAGGGGTTCCCTGGGATCACTGCTGCAACAGTCTTGGGGTGAGGTGGGAGAGTGCATGCACAGTCCCAGGTACAGGATCTGCAAGCAAGCGTAGGGTGAGGGTATGGGACTGGGGAGCAGGGTCAGGGTGTGGTATGTGCATGCATGGTCCCTCAAGAGCCGCAACCAGGAGACTTTGTCCCCCAGGCCTCCTTCATGTGCCAACAGAGGTGGGTGACTGCGTGACCTTCCTCAGCACTGCCAACTTCAGCTCTACCAGCTACACCATGTATACCTGCTGCAAGCAGCTCTTTGCCAGGTGGGTGTGAAGGGCCCCAGAGCCATACGGTCCTGCCCAGAGACACAGGCAGTGGCCAGCACCTCATCCTGACCATGCTTCTCTCTTTCCAGCTTGGTGCTCGACAGTGGGACGGTCTCCTTCACGGGAGCCTGGGCTGGCCAGACAGAGGGCATGCGGTGCCTGACACAGTGCTGTGGGCACTACAACCACACTACCTGCGAGGGGACAGCCTAGAAATATGCAAACACGGCCTGGAAACACCAGCATCTGCAAAGTCTGGCCCCAAGCCTAAGAAGTGCCCCATCAGAAACCTGCAAATTTGGTCTCCTCTGCTCCAGTGATGATTGACAGCTGCATGCACCCTGCAACCAGCACCCTTAGGTGCTAGCCCGCAGACACAAGGGAACTGCTCGCAAATAAATCACGGAAATCCCCATGTACTTGCCCTCAACCCCACTCTGGCCCCGGACCATGGCTGTCCCACACAGCATGAGGTGCTTTGCTCAGGCTGCAGGCTGCAACTACCACAGCCAGCTTTTCCTGCAGCTGTCAGAAGCTGAGCCTCTGCCATGTTCCACCTCAGCTTTCAGGTCTGGCCCAGCCACCCTCTTCTCTCCTGTAGGGTGTGGATGAAAGTAAAAACCATTACTTGAAGACATTTTCCTCCCTCGAGCACAAAGCTACCCCATCCTGCTGTGTTTGGGTGCATCTTTTCCACAGGGACCACAGCAGCAGGGAACAGGCCAGTCCTCACTTTATTGCACCCATTCGCCAATGCAGCCTTGCTATGTACATCATTATCTTACAATGACCCCACAGCAAAGCACCAGGACCCCAGAGCATGCCACACTCCCAGCCCGGTCCCTTCTGGTGCACAGAGCCACCCTTCTGGACATCACTTTGCAGGGTGGCACTACTGGCACCCAGCACCCTCTTCTAAAGCTCCATGGAAGGTGATGCTCTTCAGCATGATGAAGCACGCAGCTCTGGGGCTCTTTGCAAGCCTGCTGTCCATTGCCACGCTCTGGTGGCTGCTGCACACCTGAGTGAGCTGATGGGCGCAAGGGAGGCTTGATGTGATGCAGGGTGCTTTACTTTCCAGCATGAGCACCACTGCTTGTCCATCACTGCCTCCTGATGCAGGGCAGTGGGACCTGGAACAAGTGCTGCTAGCTGCCACTGGAATAAGGCATGTGCCAAGCGGGGGTGATGCCAAGTGAGCATGACCAGGTTGTGCAATGGAGCTGAGCAGGGTGTATGGGGTCTGCATATGGCAGGTGGGCAAGGAGGGGTGAGTCCTATAGGCTGGATACCCACATATACCTGGCATGGATGGGAGGTGCCCCTTCGCCCCTCTCCTGGGTGCCCCGTGTGAGGTAGAGCAACATTACTGTGGTGCTGGGCAGCACCTGTAGCAGCACTGCTGCCCCCAGCATCCACCCAGCAAGGGGGTGGAAGGCTGACCCCAGGGTGCAGGGGTTCAAAATCCCATCCCTGTGAGCTGCCCGTACTGATGCCAGTGCCCTGTCACAGGCCTGGACCCCAGAGCCCCACACAATGCCAGCAGGAGCCCTACAGGTCATACTAAACCCCTCCACAGCATAACCTTGGCAATCACAGTGTGCTGCTGGGCTTCACATCCTTCACATAGAGCACTGGCAGGGCTTGGCCCGGTTGCTTTATGGAGGACAGAAACAGGCATATGAGGTGCTGGGAGCCGGGAGAGCAGCCCAGGCTCCCAGTTTGCTCAGGGGAGCCAGGCAGGGGGCATAGCGCTTGCAAAGCCCAAGGGAGCAGGTGTAACAGCCCCTGCCTTAAGGCGGGGAAACAGAGTCGGGAGAGGAATGTGAGCCTGAGCATGGAGGAGCTCCACCACCAGCAGCAGCTCTTGTAAAGAGGTATTGGGAAGGGGTCCACACTGCCCAAGGCTCACATTCTCCCCATGACTCCCACTACCACACACCACACAATGCAAGTGCTGCGGGCCAGGGTGGGAGGCAAAGGGAGAAGAGTGGTGGCCACTGCCAGGGTCGCCCCTTCCCAACCTGGCCACATGCTGCCTCCTGGCTGTTTGGATGGGGATCCAGAGCAGGAGGTCCCAGCTACAGCGGTGCTGGCTACTGTAGGCAGCCAGACCTGCTGCTCTCTCCTGACCCAGGTTTGGAGGCTGCTAGGGTCTCCCCTGTTTCTGCTGCTCTTCGAGAACTCTTGGGGCTCACAGAGGCCTTGCGTGTACCCTGGGGACTTGCCAGCCCCTTCTTCTGGAGCTGGGGACTGGACTGCACAGATTTCCTACCCACGGAGGGGCTCTTGGAGCCTTTGGGCTTGGCTGGCTCCAGCGTCTTCAGGCCGAGGATGCTGCAGTAATGGTTACACTGGTGAGCGGTTGTGAATTGCTCCAGCAGAGAGGGGAAGCAACTTTCCTTCAGCCCCTGGTACCTGCAAATACAGTAATCCTCAGCCTCTGCTTCACACCAGGAGATGTCCCACTGGAGCAGAGAGCCGAGGACGGAGCCTGGCTGTGCTCACCACCGTGGCCCTTTGCCACATGAGCAGCGAGAGCTGGGGACAGCCTGGGGGGGACACTCACCCTTTCAGGTTGGTAGCAATCCGCACATTGGTCATCTTCCAGCCCACTCCTGCAATGAAAGGGAGGAGAACCAGTGTCTCCCTGAGAAGAACAGGCACTGGCAGCAAGAGCAGGTCACTGTCCTGGGAGCTGGGCTCCATGGCACATGGGGAAAAAGGCAGAAGGCAAGGCTAGGGCTTTTCCCCCTCCTTTCACAGGTCAGAAGGTAGCGAGGGGTCACAAAAATCAGATGGCAGATGCCTTTACCTTCCATGTCAGTCACAAGGATGTTTCCATTTGTCCACTGATAGACCCAGTGCTGGAAGGTGCAGCATTTGAGTACAATCTCTGAAGTGCCTCGTGCCACCAAGCTGCCATCTCTCTCAGTGACACAGTACTGCTCGCAGGGCGCACCAAGGTCCTCCTCCATTGTGGCATAAGGGATGTTGTTGGCCGGTCGGTATATCAGGTATAGAGGAATTATCCTGCATGGGAGCACAAAGGCAGGTTTAGCATCAGACACACTCTCACTGCAGCAAGTGGAGATTCACACTGTGGTCTACAACCCTTGGCTTTTGCGCTTCCCCGATGCCCCTTCTGTCTGAGGGTGGGAGAAGAGCACACTGCCCTTTGGGATATCCCCAGCATCCACAAGTAACCCTCTCACCATCCCCCAGGGTGCTCTGCCAGGATGTGAGGCCAATGAAGCTGCAGGACTTACTCGGGCACTGCTCCAAAATCAGGGACAGCTCGTGCCTCAGCGGCAAAGATCTTGCAGTACTCGCGGCTAGAGTTCTGGATTTTACATTCCTGAAGATGCAAACAGAAGAGTCAGGGACCTGTCCTGTCTTGCCTCAACAAATCCCAGGACACCCTGCCTGGCCAGGCATCCCCTGGGAGCACTGCCAGCTGTTTCCCTGCCCTGGTGGTCAAAGGACAAGTGACAGGGAAAGCTCTGAGCAGTCCTGTGTTGTTCAGAGAGAAGAGCTGAAGCCAAGAATAACAAGGACATTGCCAGTCTGCTGGAATGCAGCTCAACCCCTCCGGAGCACTCAAAAGGGGGATGGCAATAAAGAAAGTGGGCACAGACCTGGGGACTGTGGCACAGACAGGGAAGGTGTGGGGGAGACAGGTGGAGGCTGGCCCACAAGGTTGCCCACCTGGATGGTGATATCGTAGTTCTTCTCTATCAGACCGTTCTCATTCTTGGTCCCAAAGACAATGAAATTGTGCACTTTTATTACACAGGTGCAGCCAGACTCAAAGACGGGCTCCAGGCCGTAGATAGCTCTTGCCCGGCAGGCTTTGTGCAGGAAACCGGCACCCACTTCCACGTCTTCGCTTACCACGCGCCCAAAGAGCTTATCTCCCCAGTAGCCTGCATCAGCCAGACCCTTCGCGAACACCATGGGCGTCATCTCAATCTCCTCACCAACTGGCAGAGGGAAGAGCTGGTGAAGGAGGACAACGTGGACACAACCTGCCCCCATCACAGAGCTGCTGCCCCTTGCACAGCAAGGGGCAGCAGTTGCAGCTTGTCAGCACGAGGCCCTTACCTTCGATCTCTTCCCGCAAGATAAATCCTGACAGCACTACATGGGACAGAAAGCAGAGAGGTGTTAAGGTCCTACCAGGATCCCACCCTGCCCCATGTGCTTCCACACCAAGGGACAGCAAGGTATGAATTGCTCATGTATTAGCACATGAAGGCAGAGGCACCTCACAGAGGTGGTGTTATGGGGTGTGCAAGGTTCCCCCCGCTCCGCAAATCTGGCACCAAGCTCTGCATGGTTCACTACACTGCCCCATGGCACATCTGGAGAAGCTGGGAGAGATGCCAGGCTGCTAGGGGCTCCTCACCTTCTCTGCTGAGCAGGAAATCAGTGGAGTCAGTGCCATACTCGTTGCTGATCACGCATCGGTAGACCCCGCAGTCCTTCTGGGATGCCTGCACAACAGCCAAGGCTGCCTGGCTCTCATCACCAGCACTAGAAGAAACCAGAGCATGGCCTCAGCCCTGTGTGACACATGTGGGCACATGGGAGCCATGTGACAGGCACTGAGAATGGGCACTTTGCTGCCCTTAGAGGGCTGGAAGAGGGCTACAAAGGAAGCCAGCCCAAGGGCATCCCAGCTCCTCTCCTGGCACCTTATGGTACCAAGAGTCCTGCTCTGCAGTTTATACTTGCAGAGATGCTCGTCTTCCAGGCAAGCCTTGCAAAATCTGGTCAGGATTGGGCTATAGACAGATAAAGGTACTTTCCCCTGAGTGCGGCTCAGGGATCTGATTGGGCTAAGAGACTCACATCTGGATGGATGTATGGATGGAAGTCAAACAGCTACAGAGGTATTCAGCTTCATTGTCAGCTCTTCATGAGTGAAGGCAGACACCACTCCCCATCCTGAAGTCTGCCCCTCTCCAAGGGACCAGCAAAGCATGAGCTCTGTGTTCTTCTCCAGCCTGCAGCACCAGGCTTTGGGCTGGCAACTCATCTAGCCAAGGTGGCACACTACGCAGATGAGTCTCCAAAAGAACCAAAGGTCTGTTTCTGCCCCACATGGCCAGCATGAACCAGCAAAGGGATGACAGGCTGCAGAGGGAAGAGGTAGGACCTGAGACCCGCCGGCTGAGCAGGCTCTGCTCTGGTCAGCTAAAAGACAATGGCTACTCCAGGTCCATCTGCCCCAGCTCAGATATCTGCTGTAGGAGACTGTTTATGCCTCAGAAGCACCTCTTCCTGCCTGCTTATTATAAAGGGAGCTCAAGGGATGCTCAAAGGCATCAGGTAAATCTGATCCTACTCCATCAAGCTCCCTTGGCCTTGAGAACAAGTTGCTCTCCATAATGTGCCCTAAGGAGCATCCAGGATACACCAAGCCAC